TTCACAGAATCACAGAATTTTAATACGTCTATTATGTGAAAGTACCGAAATTTTATCTTTGATTTTAAAACTCTCTAAAAATGTTGGTGCCAAATTAGCGTATAAAATTGCTTATATCTTGGCAAATAAAACTCCTTTCGGCGAAAAAATCTCAGGGATACAGAGTTTTACTCGCTCTTTCACATGGATTACTTGACTAATTCAGTTACGGAAAATTTAGTTTTCCATGAAGTACGTGCAAACGAAGAATAAGTTATTTCGAATTCATATCGATACTTAGACAGCAATAAACAACCACTAACGATTGGTGACATGATTAAAGGATAAATACCACTTTCTGATGATTTTTAAAGTGTTTGTTGGATGTTATCAATCTCAATGAATACAAAATATCGTCTTACCTTTGTACCGAGTCCAGTCGTGACGAAATCTTATTGCACTGAATACTGTTCCTCGTTCACATACGATGCAGAGTCGATACAAGATTCTTGCACGATAATGAATCAATCAAACATCATGACATGAAGTGGTTCTTTGTCAGTCAATTTTATAGCATTTTTCGTCCAAGAAACAAGGTTTGCCTCTCCTCGGACTTCCCGGAAGAGTTCTGTCATTTGTAATCCCGCTGTTCAAAAGTACCTGAAGTCTGGCTCAACCCGGAAATGAATGTTTTGATCAATGTAGCTATGACAACAGGGTTTCACTTTATACATAGATTTGAATAAACTAGTTACATATGATTCAATAAATAATTGTGTCAGGTTGGAAGCTAATATATGATATGTTATGAATTAATAAATCAACAAATGATTGAATGGATGGATGGAAGAATCAATGTTTGATCATTTGGAAGATAAAATGTAAGATTGTAGTGAATGACAACTGCAAGAGTGACATATAGAAAAAAAACTCAATGTTGTACATTATGTAAATAAGAAGGTATTTCAGTTTTGAAATATTTTTCTAATAGTTAATGATTTTTTCATTAGATCAAGAGTATTTATAATAACATACAATCCTATAATTTTAGAATGTCATCTCCTTGGAAAGTATCATTTACTTCAAGCGAAATGCTTTGCCATTTTCCGTCCTTCACGGCTCTTTAGTGTCGGGATCCCTGTGTGTCTCTGCGCACAATTTTCTGTTGTACACACAAGAGGACAAGACTCCGTTTTATTGAATGACCTCGTTTGGCGTAAATTGAAATAATCACTCAGAGACGAAAAAAAAAAAAAAAGATTTCAGTGAATGACAACTGAAAGAGTGACATATAGAAAGAAACCATACTATTGTACATAATGTCACATATAAAGATATAATTTCACATTTTATTTGTTGTTTTTTARTATTTTTTTAAAAAAGATATAAATTGTTTCATTAGTTCATACATATCCATAATAACAAGCAATCCTGTAATCCTAGAATGTCGTCTCTTTTAAGAGTATCACTTCAAGTAAAATGGTTTGCTAGTTTCCGTCCTTCAATAATCGGGATCCCTGTGTGGATATACGCACATGATATTTTGTTGTACGCACAAAAGGATAAGACTCCGCTTTATTGAACGAACTCGTTTGGCGTAACTTAGAATAATTATTCAGAGTCCATGTACATATGATTTGATAAAATGTCTCAGCTTAGTAGCGATACATTCGGGGTATTTTATTGTATCAAAATACATGAACAAAGAAATAAACCAAAGGCATGAATGGATGAAAGAATACAGTGAATGAGAATGAAAGAATAAAATAAAGAAATAAAACGCGCACTCTATTGTACGTAATGTAACCATTAAACATAGTTTCATATTTAGGTGTTGTGTATTTTCYCTCTTAGATAGATTGTCTTATTAGATAGTGAGTAAACAATCCTGTAATTTTAGAATCTCGTGTATCGTCAGTGAAGCCATAAAGACATCGGTGAATATGACAATAATAAACACAGTTGACCATACTGACGATTAGAGTCCTTACACTTAACCCGTGAAACAATTACCAGACTACTGGAGGCTTTGACCATGCAATGAAAATGATCATTTAGTTAGCATTTGTTGGTAAAACAATAGATTCATAGCTTGATAATCTTTCACGGTCAAATGAAATCAACTCCAGTTATGTTTTCGTTTCGTTCAGCTGGAGTATTACACAATAACAGTTTGCGTTTCACGGGTCAAATGTAAGGACACTAACCGTCTGCAAGTGTTTGATAGTGTCTATGAGTGAAGTCTAAAAAAAAAAATCGTGAAATAGATTACACACTAATACACCTTAGAACGCTCTAATTACATTCTTTTCGTTTGTAACTATTTGACTATGAAAAAAAATACTATTTGACTATCAGCCTTTTATTGTGAAATTTCGTTTCACGGGTTTAATGCCCTCGCTCTAGTAGTGATCGTGCCACAGTTCGATAAAAAACACTTTCTTATTACTATTTGTTCGGTAGATTAGTGACAATGCACACAACCCGTGAACCACTATCTAAAAGTCACTACGTGGTGTAACGTACTGAACTAGAGGGATGTAACAAATCTTTCATTTGTGTTGCGGAGTCAGTCTAAACGTCAGGCAGCCTGACGTTTGGTCCCAGAACTAAAAAAGTCGATTGCCTGACGTTTAGTTCTGGGACTAAACGTCAGGCAGT